AAGAATCCATTGCGTGCTTAATGGAGGGTAACTGGTCAGCTCGCATCGCGCGAATGTTATTTTTGCAGCATGAGACGCCGTGTACTGCGACGGGCAAGTCGCCAGCTGAGCTGCTCTTGGGTAGAAGACTGGTAACGGTGCTGGATTATGTCCACCCGGATAAAATGCCAAACCGTAATTCAAGAGCAACCCCCCAGGCTGAGACTGACACAACAAGGTATCTCGGCCCTGAAGATCTGGTCTGGGTGAGGAACTATTCACGAGGTTCGCGGTGGGTGGCTGGTGTGGTCACCCGGGCTAGTGGACCTGTGTCCTATTATGTGACCTTGGAAAATGGGCAAGTGTGGAAGAGACATATAGATCAGCTGAGGCGCCGGGCGCTCAGCAGGGAGGAGTCAGATAATCCATCCCTGGCTAAGGACGCAGAGCTGCAAGACCAGAGTGAAAATGGGCCAGAGGTGCAGTCACCAGGGGCTTCAGAAAATGAACCAGGGTCTGCTAGTCCTCATGATGACGAGGTACAGGTAGGGGACCCTGAGATGTCTGGGACTCCATCTGTTCCTGACGAAACCCCTATAGCGGCCCCCCTACCACAGGTAACACCCAATCCAGAACCTGCAACACCTGTTGTCAGGAGATCAAGTAGAAGTTGTAGGACCCCACAGTATCTGAGAGATTACGTCTGCTGTGCTCACTAGGGGGGGAGGGGTGTTGTGTATTGAGTCAAAGGATTTTATATCTGTATTACTATTGTCTGTATTTGCATTAGGGTAAAGTAACTGCTTTTTGGTTCCAGAGGGTACAGCTACTATTGGTTCATTTAAGCTGCTGTATTCAGTGGCGTAGCGTGGGTTGTCAGCACCCGGGGCAAGGCAAGTTGCTTAAAGACTTTTGGAGGTCTTTAAGCAGAGGCTTGACAGCCATATGTCAGGAGTGCTCTGATGGTGTTTCCTGCTTGGCAGGGGGTTGGACTCGATGGCCCTTGTGGTCTCTTCCAACTCTATGATTCTAATTTGCGCCCCCTAACCCATGGATTTGCGCCCCCTAACCCTAACCCCCAGATGTTGCGCCCGGTGCGGCCGGCCCCCCCTGCACCCCCCACGCTACGCCACTGGCTGTATTTGGATCCTCTGTCTTATTGGTTCCCTCCAAAAGGCAGGACTGTGATTGCCTGATATTGTTCCCTCCAAAATGTATCCTTTCTAGCTAGTCCCCTGTCCCTATAAATGTAGCTTTCCCCTCCTCAGTCTTGTTTGCTGTAATAAAGAAGTGTTACTAGAGAACTGTCTCCAGCATATTATGTCAAGAGAGCAGAAATCACAAACCCCACGTCACAACATTTTATATTTGGTATTAGCCACCCTGAGCCCGTTCTTGGCTGGGGCGGGGGGGCGGAGTATAAATAAAAATCTTCTTCTTCTCCTTCTCCTTCTTGTTATTATTATTTGCAACAAATAAATACACACAGAACTCCCTCTCTGCAGTGCAATCTGAAATTTGGGTTTCCTGAAGGTCCTAAGAACTTGGCCAACCTAATATTAAGTAAATAAGGTAAGCCAAAGGTTCTCTCCATATGAACCACCCTCTAGTCTCTGCTTCTCCATTTGTATTGTATTATTTTATGTAGTGTGCCTTGCCACTGTTTTACTGATTACAGTTTAGAAATTATTTATTGTAACTATTGAGTGGACTTCTGTTTAAACTTTTATATTTTTATATTATTATTTTATACCATACTAATAATTGTTGAATGTTACTTTTTGATGAAGGTTGCTTATTTTAAAGTTTTGTTATCACATTTTTTTATTGCATTAGGTTGTTATAAGATGTACATTTTTTGTTTCTTCAGCTTGTAAACCGCCTTGAGTATTGTAAGGTAGAAAGACGGTATACAAATTAAAAATGATGGTGATGAACCTCGTGGGACTTTGAGCTGCTTCCGGATCCAGCCGAGACTCAGGCAGACTCAGGGGCTGGAAGTGCCTTTGAGCAACTGCAGATGGTTCCACATTCCAGGACCGGGAGAGCCTGGCCTCACGCCTTCGCTTCTTCAAGGCTGGATGACCACAGTCCCCTCCATGTGGGGCATCCCTTGCGCTTGGTCCAGAAGCTTCAGCCGGTGCAGAATGCTGCAGCACGATTGCTGTCAAAGCGAGGCCTTCTCGGCATATGACCCTTTGGCTCGGAGGGCATCACTGGTTGCCCATTGGCTACCAGGACCAGATCAAGGCCTTTCCATTATCATATGGAACAGTTTACCCATGAGATCCCTTCCTTACCCCACAGGCAGACACTCGAACGCTTCAACTACAGGTGCCACGCAAGACCTCAGTTGTTTAGTATGGCAGCACAGACCCTTTGGAACTCCCTGCCTCTTGAGATCAAGCAGGCGCCTCCCTCCCACCTTTATGGGGAACCTCCTAAAAACATGCCTGTGCAGGTGCTTAGAAAGTTGGGGTGAATATGAGCATTTTAACTTTTTGCATGTTTTAAAGTACTGCTGTACATTTTTCATGATTTCAGTTTATCTTTTTGTAAACTGCCTTGAGGATTTTGTTTTGTTTACCATCAAGCAGTATAGACATTTTATGAAATAAATAAATAAATAAATAAATGATCACTAAACTTACTTTTTCAAAACATTCCCCAAAATCTTAGCTTAATCGTAGTTACTGAAAACCAGACTTTCTCAATTTATAAAGATATACATAGGAGATTGGCTTCTCTCTCCTCAATATTTAGCTATCACAAACTCAGCAACGGTAACAAAGTTGAATGCTGCAAGTGGACCGTGAAGCCTCCTGCCTGATGTCAAGTGGCAGGGAGTTCCAAAGTACACTTGCTGCCACACCAAAAGATCAATCTTTAAAGTTGGAGGTTCCTACAGGGCAGGGCTGGCAGGTTGCACAGTCAGTGGCCCAGTATTAGTGCTTTTCAAACAAAAGCATATCATTTCCTCTTCCAGAAATGCTTAATTGTGAATTCAAGGGACACGGAAGTCTTTACACGCAGAGATGACAGGACAGCTTTCCAGATTAGTTACCTGGGAGTGAGACAGTTGGCAGAGTGGCATTTGGCTCACTAAGATGCCAGCTACTACAGGAATTGCTTTCTTGAGACTTTTTAGCACTGCAATACCATTTCTTTAAAAAATAAAAAGGTTGATTTTTAAGTCATGGCAGAGTGTGAGCAAATACTCCACATCTGCCAAGCTTTCAGGAGCAGGACTAAGGGGTGAAATGAAGCCCCCCAGATCCCCAAAGGTTGAGGGAAAGGGTCTATCTCCCGTCTTCCTTTTCATTATCAGTTCTTTCCACCTAAGAAATGAGAAGAAAGCAGCTGCTCATGCTAAGCGCAATGTTTGTTGGGGTGGAGATTAATGAGCTGACTGTGGTGTGGTTTGTCAGCAATAAATATGATTTGTTATTATCTGTAAGTGAAGCCGCATCTGAAACAATACAGAAGCAGTCAAAGGGAATTTAATTCTTTTATTCAGTCTCACCTGCAATCATATGTGCTGAACACACAGAAACACATTGATAATGTGAAATAACTGTCAGTAACAGACGCCAAATAACACACAACACATGTAATCAGATTAATGGAAGAGTACACGATTTCCCCACCATTTTTAAAAACATTGTTTTTATTTCTCTTGGTACAGAAGATAACTTTTCAGAAAGCAATGGTTACAACAGTAAACAACAAATAACTTGTCCTGATGGAATTGCAGACTTTCTTCCTGCCATGTGTTACAAGTTTCATTTGATTACTCTAAAAGATCACACCACATTTTCCCATGAGTGCTGGGTGGATTCTGGCAACAGTCTTAAGAATTTATGTATTCAATAAAAATTGGCCTCATGTTATAAAAAGAATGTGGATTGTGCTCTCCCACCTTTTAATTTCCCCAGGCAAAAAAAATGTAAGATACTGAAACTGTGGTGCCCAGAATTGAACACAGTATTTATTCTAGCTGGGGTCTGACCAAGGCAAAAGAAAGTGCTACTATTCCTGCCCTTGATCTGATTCTACCTTCTGCCACATTGGCCTCCGCTCCCCATTTGGTGTCCTCCGCAAATGTGATGAGCATCCCCTCAGTTACTTCATCCAAGACATTTATAAAGACGTTGAAGAACAACGGGCCCAGGACAGAACCCTGCAGCACCCCTCTTGTCACTTTTCCCCAGGATGAGGAGGAACCATGAAAGAGTCCTCTTGCGGTTCGGTCAGTCAAATCCACCTAACAGTTACCAAGTTCAGCCTCATTTTACCAGCTTCCTCACATAAATATCACAGGGTACTTTGTCAAAAACCTTACTGAAATTAAGATGCACTATTTCCACAGCAGTCCCCTGAGAAACAGTCTGTAACTCCATCCAAAAAAAGAAAAAGAAAAAAGAGAGATTTCTCTCGCTTGACTTGTTTTTGACAAAGCCATGCTTTCAACCTGTCTGTTTATGTTGTGAATCACCATGAAATCTTCAGATGATGGGCACATAATTTTTAAAAATGATAATAATAATAAGGATATTGACAAGCTGGAACATGGGCAAATGAAGGCGACCAAGATGGTTTTGTTTTATTTATGCATTTATTTCATTTCTATAGCGCCCTATAGCAGCGGTGCCAACTTGAATAAAATATAGGAGGGGTTTAGCAAGCCCCGCCTCAGTTAAACAGTCAGAGGATGCGGTGCAAGCATGCCATTTGAAAGGCTGTTCCTATGAACTGGGGGGGTGGCCCCCTCACATATCATATTGGGGGGCAAAGACCCCTCAGACTCTAAGAGTTGGCTCTTATTCTCTTTACCCACAGGTCTCAGGACGGTTACAACATAAAATCACACAATGAAAACACAAAACACACAGCCCAAAACCTGTAACCCCCACCTCCCCACCACATTGTAAAAGGGCATAAGATGTCAATCAGCCAAAGGCCTGTTTAAAGTAGTGTGTTTTTCTCTACCACTGAAAGCTGTATAATGAAGGGTTTTCCACTCTTCGTATGAATTCTTTCATGGGAAGTGAGACTGTAGCTGTGACTGAAGCTCTTTCCACATTCCCCACACTGGTAGGGTTTCTCCCCTGTATGAATTCTCTGATGGGAAGTGAGATTGGAGCTCTGCCTGAAGCTCTTTCCACATTCCCCACACTGATAGGGTTTCTCCCCTGTATGAATTCTTTGATGGGAATTGAGAGAGGCGTTCTCACTGAAGCTCTTTCCACATTCAAAGCACTGATATGGTTTATCCCCTGTATGAATTCTTTGATGGGAATTGAGATTGGAGCTGGTACTGAAGCTCTTTCCACATTCCACACACTGATAGGGTTTCTCCCCTGTATGATGAATCCTTTGATGGGAAGTGAGACTGTGGCTGTGAGTGAAGCTCTTTTCACATTTCCCACACTGATAGGGTTTCTCCCCTGTATGAATCCTTTGATGGGAAGTAAGATTGGAGCTCTTCCTGAAGCTCTTTCCACATTCCCCACACTGATAGGGTTTCTCCCCTGTATGAATTCTTTGATGGGAAGTGAGAGAGGAGCTCTGACTGAAGCTCTTTCCACATTCCACACACTGATAGGGTTTCTCCCCTGTATGAATCCTTTGATGGGAAGTAAGATTGTGGCTGTGAGTGAAGCTCTTTCCACATTCCCCACACTGATAGGGTTTCTCCCCTATGTGAATTCTTTGATGGGCAGAAAGATGTGAGCTCCTCCTAAAGCTCTTTCCACATTCCACACACTGATGGGGTTTCTCCCCTATGTGAATTCTTTGATGGGAAGTTAGACTGTGGCTCTGACTAAAGCTCTTTCCACATTCAAAGCACTGATAGGGTTTCTTCCTAATGAGATTTCCTTGATGGGAAGTGGAATTGGAACTTTTTCCACTTTTAAGATATTTATACAGCTTCTCCATTGTCGGGATTTTGTCATGGTCACCCTTGTCCTTGATTTCCAGTCCATCACTATCTGCAATGAAGAGAAATGGATTAGCGCCTCAGGGAGAAATTAAGGAACAATACTTGTTAACTCTGGTAATAGAGGAATAACACAAGTGGGTTAGATGGATGGTTTTCTGAAGGGTTGGGTGCATTAATTAACGGGGATCAACCGACATCCATAGGGGAACCTGTGATTCGATAAGCTACTTCAACTTCCCTAACAACTCTGACATTTATACTTAAAATGGCCTGGGGAGTTCAGACCAGACAGATCCTTGTTTAGAAGCTACAATATTGTAATCCCAGGAGTCTTAAGGGGACACTGTTGAGTTCTGTGGAAATATATGAGGTTCAACAAAGAGAGCTGTTTTGAATTTAAAAACAGATATTATGATTCAAAAGGGATCCTTACCAAGAGTGGCCACGATCCCATGATTCTCCTCCATGACATCTTTATGCAGAGCTCTCTGGTCAGGATCCAGCAACTCCCACTCCTCCTCTGTGAAACGAACAGCAACATCCTCAAAGCACACTGGACCCTAAAAGAAAAAGGGAAATGTCCTCCCATGAGACAGCAACATTGTTCACCACGACGTCTTGATCTACGACATTGTTCCACCCCTTGACCTCTGTCCCCACAAGGCAGCTTCCCCTGACCTGATCTGGATCCACAGCTGCTGCTTCCTTTCTGTCCCCAAGGAAAGATGGATGAAGAGGTCTTGGGAGCATCATTCTGTCACCTGCAAGAGGAAAAAGGTAAGGGGGAGGCCCAGAGTGCCTGCTTCTCTCACAGGTGAATCAGTGAATCTAAACTATCTCCCCCAACAAAAGATGAAAAGAACCCACAGATGAGTTGGAAAACAAACAGAATGAGACTAAACGGAGAAAAACCACCTTCCTCCTTACCCAGTGGCCTCACTCTGGTGTCCAGTGGAGGCCTCTCTGCCTCATAGGAATCCAGGTCCATTTCTGCAAAGAGATCCATTCCCTGAGAAAGAAACAAGGATTCAAAAGAGAGAATGGGGAGAAGGATTAAAAAATGAATGTCAGGGCCAACAGTTTTAAGGGTGACAGATCTCATTCCATGGATGCCTTCCCAGGGAAAAAATATGAGCCATCAGTAGAGCATTATGGGATGTTCTCCGTCCTGTTTGGAGCCCCTTGGGATTATCCAGAGGAAAGTCTCTCTCACCTGCTTCCTCTCCTCTGCCTGACTCAGGAGGAAACCTTCGGCCAGGGCCACCGCCTGGGAACTGGTCTCCGCTCCACAGTCCCTCACCCAGCTCTCCATCTCCAGGGGAAGGACAGCCAGGAACTGCTCCAAGATCACCAGGTCCAGCATCTCAGCTTTCGTGTGCCTTTCTGGCTTCAGCCACTGATGGTCAAGGTGGTAGAGTCGGCTGCAAACCTCTCGGGGTCCTTTGGCCTCCTGGAAGCAGAACCGCCCCTCTGAGCGGAGGGTGTCCTCCTCACCCAGGATCTTCTGCACAGAGTTTTCCCAGAATCCCCCACTGCTCCCAGTTTGGTTGGCATGGCCTCTTCCTGCTCCAGGGCCAGCTGAGTCTTGCTCATCCATCTGTGCTCTCAGGAAGCCTCTGAGAGATCAGAAGGAACCCTTTGGTCTTCTGCCAAGTTCTGTCCGTCTAAATGAGAAGCTCTAGCAAATCCTACAAAGCAAATACAGTGTATAAAGTTGTATAAAGTTTACACACCCTCTTCTCTCTCTACTGAGCACCCAAGAATCCTGCAAAATCCCTTTGTTAATAAATACAGTATGGGGGAAAAACATTTTAGATTTTTTTTTAGCAGCAATGCCAAAATTGTTAGGAAACCAGACAATGAGGCAGAAGAGGCTACCAGCACCAACAATAGTGATATAAATCCTCACAAGAAAAATGTTAATCCACCAACTTTCTCAAAGTTGCAGTGAGAACATCCATGGCTGGAGATGTTCTCTGATGTTTCGGTATGCCCTGACTGCCAAGAATTTGCCTGGGCCGAGGACACAGGTTTTGTGAAAGGCAGAGCAGCATAAAGGAATGAAACAGGGAGTATATATTTATATTCTGCTTTTGAAATTTTGTACAGGTGTTAAATGTGCCATTTTTGTGATCTGGAAGGAAGTGGGTGAAATCTAAGAGGAGTCAGTCAGTGAATAAAATTCTCAGGCTCCTTTAAGACCAGATGCGCTGAGTCCATGTTCTCTGCTTAAGGTGATGTTTTATTCTCTGGGCTTGGTCTGACTTGTGAAACCCATTTTCGGATTGTTTTATTCAGTGCTGTGATATCTTGCAAACTACAATGAGATCTTTTCTTTAAAATATAAAGCAGTATAGGAATGAAATAATGATGATGATGAATTGCATTTTTCTTACCTTTTCAGATAAGAAAACAGGCTGTGTCTGCTACTCAACATGACGCTGGTCGTGCTAAATCTGCCAGGTCAAATCCTATGTCAATCCCAATGGCAGAGGCAATAAAAGCAAGGGAGAGGGATTTGCACACGAATGGGGAGGGGCTGGTCCTCCTTGCACTTTTCGATGCAGGACTTCCCATGCCTTCGTCTAGGCCTCAAGTAAAATGGCCCAAGGGTAGGCGGAAAGACTGAAAAGCCTCTGCCTGGAACTCAATGCCCAACGGAGTAAAGTCAATTTCTTTGGTATTTTGGCGGATGGCTCAACAGAGAGGTCCACCGTGGCACCTGAGATCATTTCCTTTTATTCTATATTTGAAGATGAAGTGAAATGTACCTATGGAGCCCTTGGCAGAATGTACTCGTAGACTATGCCGCAGGGCCCTGGTCTCAGGAGACACGAGCGTTCCACCAGGCCGGAGCCAGCGCTGAAAAGGCCCTGGCTTTGGTTGAGGCTAATCTGACTTTATTATTGTTGGTGTTTTAATAGTTGAGCGCCAGCATTTCGTACTGGTCTCTTTTGGTGCTGTTTTCACAATGCTTTATGCTGTGTTTTCACGACATTTCTGCCAAGATTGTTTGATTGACTTGATGTTATCAGCCGCTCAGAGGATTTGGCCCAGGAGCGTCCAGAAACTGCATCCTCTTGGGCGAACCCCAGAGCTGAGCACTGCACAGAGTTCTGCATCTGCAAGGCGACATCAGGATGCGGCCGGGAGCGAGTCCCTCTCAGCACAGAAGAGGGGTGGTCCAGGGCCCCCTCCCTCTGGAAACCCCCAAAAGGAGACCTCTCCAAACTCGGCTCTCCTCCCCAGAACTGAACTGCTTGGCGAGCCTGGCCTTCCTGCCTGGTGTGGGCAGGCTCTGGCTGGCAGGCGCCTCTGCCTTCCTGCCTGGGGTGGGGAGGCTCTGGCTGGCAGGCGCCTCTGCCTTCCTGCCTGGGGTGGGCAGGCTCTGGCTGGCAGGTGCCTCTGCCTTCCTGCCTGGGGTGGGCAGGCTATGGCTTGCAGGCGCCTCTGCCTTCCTGCATGGTGTGGGCAGGCTCTGGCTGGCAGGCGCCTCTGCCTTCCTGCCTGGGGGGGCAGGCTATGGCTTGCAGGCGCCTCTGCCTTCCTGAATGGTGTGGGCAGGCTCTGGCTGGCAGGCGCCTCTGCCTCCCTGCCTGGGGTGGGCAGGCTCTGGCTGGCAGGCGCCTCTGCCTTCCTGCCTGGGGGGGCAGGCTATGGCTTGCAGGCGCCTCTGCCTTCCTGCATGGTGTGGGCAGGCTCTGGCTGACAGGCGCCTCTGCCTCCCTGCCTGGGGTGGGCAGGCTCTGGCTGGCAGGCGCCTCTGCCTTCCTGCCTGGGGTGGGCAGGCTCTGGCTGGCAGGCGCCTCTTCCCGGCACGCGCTTCCCTGACCTTCCTCCTGGGGAGTCTGGAAATAAGCTCTGGCTCTCAGCCCTGGGGCTCCCTGGGGGGAAATCTTTGCACCCCTGACCCTCTCCTCCCTGACTTGGGGTCCCCCCTCCGGCTGAGCAGATCAGACCCCCCCGCCCCCTCCCTGCTGCAGCCCTGGGACCCCCAGCAGATCGCAGAGAGAGAGGAGACTCACCAGATCCCAGGAGGGGGCAGCGAGGCAGCCCTTGCAGGAGAGACACAAAGCAACACCCCCCTTCCTTGCAGGAAAGGACTGGGGAGGGAGGGGCCTTGGCTCTGGAGGACCTGGCCCCCCTTGCTTCCTGTCCTCTCTAGGAAGGCAGCTCGGTTCCCTTTAACCCTTGCCAAGCCGAGTCCCTCCAGCTCCCCCCCCCCCCCATTGCAGACTCCCGGAGCCAGGGCAGAACCTCAGATTTCTATTAATTTTTGTTATTTTTTCTTGATGCAGGGGGGCAGTCTGGATACGCCAATGGCCAGAGATGCTTGGAGGCGGGGGGAGGTTTTGGCTCTTTGTTGGGTTCTGAGCATCTCGCTCCCTTGGCCAGAAACCAGAGGAAGAGCTTGCAAGGAAAAGGGCTTTGCAGGAGGCAAGGAAGCTCCTCCTAGAATTCAGGAGTGGAGAGATAGGAGGGGATCCCAGGGTCATCTAGTCCAACCCCAGCAATGCAGGAATCTCAGCTAAAGCATCCATGGCAGATGGCCGTCCGATCTCTGCCTAGAAACCTAGAAAGGGTAGGAATCTGATTATTTGGAGTATTGAAGGGAAGACTGGGGGCCACTGGGAAAATACAGGCTAAGCTCCCTTTCCAAGCCTGGGCCTCACCTGGGATACAGGTGTTCACATGAGGAAAGATCTTGATGGCCCATCTTGATGGTCCTGGTCCATGCACAGAGTTTGCCATGGTGATGAGTGTACACAAAATAATAATAACAACAATAACTATGGTGTCCTCTGCCTGAGTTAGGGGTGGGTGACGCCACTTGGCAGTGCTTCTGGTCCTTTGTGGATGAGCATCTCCACAGGGTGATTGTTATGTACTGAGTTGAACAGGATCCAAACTGCAGCAG